CATTAAAAGAAAGAGTCCGTAAGTAGAAAACTGAGCAAAACTTGGAAATAGTCAAGATGTTCTTCAGTAGCTACATGGAAAAAAAAAAAAATCAAGACTCTGGTACATCCATCCAACAGACACACTGAGATATTTTGTGGCTCTGGCTTGCCTGTATTAACCTAAGGTGGCCTTAAACTTGAAGCAATCCACCGCCCTCCTTCCAAATGCTGAAATTATAGGCATAGGATACCACTCAGCATAAAAGAATAATGTTAAAAAACAAATGAGCCACCAAGTCACAAAAAGACAGGAACATAAAATAGACGTTAAGGAAAAGAAACCAAACTAAAAAGGCTACATATTATATGATTTCAACTACAAGGCATTATGGAAAAATCAAAAACCATAGAGAATAAAAAGATCACGGTTTGCCAGAGGCTCTAGAGACTGGTAGTGGTGGCACAGGTGCTAGGGAAGCATGGACAGGTGAGCACAGAGCCATCTGCAGGGTGATTAAGCCATTCTGAAGATAGCTTGATGATGGATACATAACACTGTGCATATATCAAAACCCATAGAATATACGACACAAGACAAAACCCAAATAAAAACTATGGGCTTTGGGGGCTGGAGAGACGGCTCAGCAGTTAAGAGCACTGACTGCTCTTGCAGAGGACCTGGGTTCGATTCTCAGCACCCACGTGGCGGCTACGAATTGTCCTTAACTCCAGTTCCAAGGGAATCCAAAGCCTTCTTCTGACCTCCTTGGCATTGCAGGACACGGTACACTCACGTACATGCAGGCAATACACTCACACACATAAAAATAAATATTAAAAAAACAAAAAAAACTATGGGCTTTGGTTAACAGTAATCCATTAATACTGACTCATCAATTTCATCTGGTTCAACTTTTCATTTCTCTTCATCAATTTTTTAAAAATCTGGTTCATCAATATTTGCTTTTTGTTCAAGACAGGGTCTCATGTAGTCCAGATTGCCCTTGAACTAGCTGAAGATGACCTTAAACTTCTGATCTTCTCCCTCTACTTCCCAAGTGCTGGGATTGCAGAAACATGCTACCATGCCTGGCTTTGAGTCACCAATTTTTAAACATATACCACACTAAACTTGGTATAATGGCTCACATATGCAATCCTAGCACTACGGAGGCTAAGGCAGAAGAATTGGATTACTGTAGTCCAAGGCCAGCCTAGGCTACAATGACCCTGTCTCAAGAAACCTATACACACAAATGCATCAAATGAATCCAAGGTAATAATAAAGGGCAAATGGGGGGGCGGGGGAATGCAGAAGAGGCAATACACAGAGTTTCTTGTTTTCACTCAATTTTTTTTCTGAAAAAAAACTAAAAACTTCTCAGAAAACTAAAAGGTTAGCCAGGCATGGCAGAGCACGTTTGTAATCCCAGTATTTGGGAGACTGAGGCAACCGAACCAGGAGATTAGCACAGAGAGCATGACGTCAACCTGGGCTATATGAGTCAAGACAGGGAGGAGGAGAATCTTCTATGTTACTGGATAAAGAGGAGGAGGAAAAGTGTGAGCTATTATAGGAGACATCCTCACTGAACCTGATCACAGACACAGTCCAAAAGAACAAGAAATGATATCAGCAGACTTAATGGTAGAACAGAATAAGCTACAAAGAGTAAGAAAAAAACCTCCAGAAACTCATTCCAGACAATTCCTCCAAACCTCTAAACTGAACTTTATGTTAAGGGAGAAACAAACTCCAATGGCATCATTACTCCATTGTGGAAAAACTCTCCACCGCTTACAGAGACACACAGACACAAACAAAACATTTTTGACTTTCTGAAATAGGGTCACACAGTGTACCTGTGACTGACCTGGAACTCAAAGATCACCTGCCTCTGCCTCCCAGGTGTTGGGAAATTAAAGGCGTGTGCCACCATGCCCAGCATGTTAAAAGTTTCTAATAAATTAAGGATTTCAGTTGATCTTCAGGAAAAAAAGTTCCATCTCTAATAAAATCATTCAAGTTTAGAAACACCACAGACTATTTTGATGATTCCAATATCCTAAAATGAGGTGACTCTACCAAACAAAAGACTTACCTTTCCTGAAACAGATTCTCCATCATAGAAGAGATAGTGCTTTTCTACTTTACCATCTTCAGTTTTCATTTCTGCCATTTTCCTGGTTTCCCCATCATTAAGGACAACATCAATCTCACAGATGGGACCAAAAAAGCCTCCAAGAAAACTCTGAAATCAAATAAAAATGCTCATGATTATTATGTTTAGCTAGTCACTACAATTTGTAATTCAAATTTAACTACCTTTGACCTAAAGCCAAACATGACAAATCTAGGACTTCAAAAGAAATAAAAACAGATCAAATTCTACATCAAAACTGAGCTGAGGGGGTTGGAGACACTGCACAGCTTGGTGGTCGGGTACCTGCCTCAAATGTACAGGGACAGGATTCAATCCCTGGCCCTGCTAAACAAATCACAGCAACAAAAAGTTGAGCTAAGCACAAAATAAAAAGATAGTTAATACTGCAGTTTACACTTAAAATTAAGAGATTTCATCTTATATTTTCTACAACCAAATAAAACCCACTGAAACACGCTATAAATGCAATCATTTCCATAGGTAACCCACAAAAATAATCAAATACCAACATATCCAAATGTAGAGTTGATTCTCAACATCCAAGTTAGACCTCTATTAAGTTCTTCCATCACAGAACTTGCACAATCCAATTTATTCCTTCAAGTAAGGATTCCAGTGTACAACTTACTATAAAATCTACTGCTGCTGGGCATGGTGGCTTTTAATCCCAGCACCTGGGAGGCAGCAGCAGGCGGATCTCTGTGAGTTCAAGGCCAGCCTGGTCTACAAAGTGAGTTCCAGGTCAGCTGGGGCTATAAGGAGACCCTATCTCAAAAAGACCAAAAAAGAAAAAGAAAAAAAAAAATCTGCTAAGGTCTGTTCAGAGAATGTTACACTACCTAAGACCTTTGCGAAACCTGGTGCTAATGGAAGAGACATGAAATTTCCATAAAATTTCCCAAAGGAAGTATGTAAGCCTTGTTCTGTAAATTCTGAATACGACAGAAATAAGCAGGACAAACATGCATCTCCTGCCAAGGCAAAATATACTGGTTGTCAGTATATCAACTGCAGAGACCCTTGACAATTCAGGTATTAGGTTTAGCTATGGAGCATTCTCCCTAATGACAAGGATCTAGTCTCTAAATTTACAGATAACAGTCTCCTACCATGTTGGCTTACTTCCTTTCTCAAGTTTGTGTTTTGAGATGGTGTCTATGTTCCCCAATCTGGCTCAGCCTCCCAAGCAGCTAGACCCACAGGCACACCCCACCACACTAGCTCTGATATCCCTTCTTAGTCTGCTCTGCACAAAAAACAAAGCAACAAACATTTTAAAAATATTAATTTTATTTTATCAAAAATAATCTCAAAAAGACAAGTATTGCATGTTTTCCCTCATAGAATCCACATTTTGAGACCCTGTCTCAAAAAGGCCAAAAAATAATTAAATATTAAAAAATAAATTAGAACTACTTTGAAAGTAGTTTGGGGCCAAGGAGATGGTTCAGCATATGAAGATGCTTGACACCAAGCCTGGTAACCTGAGTTTGATCCCCAGGACATGTGCACTGTGACATGTTTGTGCACACATGCATACACACCACACATATTTAATAAATGTAATTTAAATTTATTTATGTGTATGTTAAACGTGTGTAAATCCCTAAAAAGGACATCAGACCCCTTGGAGCTAGATTTATAGACAGTTATGAACTGCCCATGTGGGTGCTGGGAACTGAATTCATGTCCTACGGAAGAGCAAAAAGTGCTCTTCATTGGTAAACCACCTCTCCAGCCCATAATGTAAAAAAAAAATTAATTAAAAAAAAAGTAGTTTGAGGGACTGGAGAGATGGCTCAGAAGTTAAGAGCACTGACTGCTCTTGCAGAGGACCCGGGTTCAATTCCCAGCACCCATATGGCGGTTACGAACCGTCTTTAACTCCAGTTCCAGGGGAATCCGAAGCCCTCTTCTGACCTCCGAGGCACTGCACGACACGGGTGCACTCACATACATGCAGGCAATACACTCATACACATAAAATAAAATAATAATAAATTAAAAAAAATTTTTTTGGTCTTTTTTGAGTTGGGGTCTCCCTGTAGCCCCAGCTGTTTTGGAACTCACTATGTAGACCAGGCTGGCCTTGAACTCACAGAGATCTGCCTGCCTCTGCCCTCCCAAGTGCTGGGATTAAAGGCATGCGCTGCCACGCCCAGCTTAAATAAAATATTAAAAAAATAAATAAAGTAGTTTGGCAGCTGGCCTTGGTGGGTATTGTCTATAATCCCAGCACTCAGGAGGCTGAGGCAAGAGGACTGCCAAAAGTTCAAGGCCATCCTAGAATATCAGAATCTAGCCACTATTTTGTAGCCGTTCCCCTCTTTCACAGACACTGGCAGGTACCCTACTGGAGCACATTCTGTGAGACCACAGCTGACGAACATGCCAGTGCCAGGAAACCTCACCTGGGAAGCAAGGGGGTGCCACATCCTGTTCCCCCACATGCCCCCCCCCGCCTCCTCTCTGGAAATCAGTCTGGCTGCAGGTTCTTGCTGTGAACCTCCCCATCCTAGAAAAGCAGAAGAGGCGCCCTCCTCTGCCAAGTGGGCTCTGATTCTCTCCAGAGACCCTGCCATGCTGTCTGTCTCTGGTACTGGGGTGTGAGGTCTCCTAGGAGCCCCATCATGCTGCTGTTCCTCTCTCTGTCCATGATAACTCTTCTAATAACTCCATAGTCCCCAGTAATCTAATCTATCTGTCTCAGTGTCCTCTTGAACCACTCACTCCATCCAAACCCTAATACACAGTGAGTTCTAGGACAGCCTCGAGTGCAGAATGAGACCTCGTCTAAAAACAAACAAAACAAAACAAAACAACAAAAAACACATAAGACAAAACAGAGGTGTTAGTCCTATTTTGTTTTATCTTGGCTCTTGATGTTCACTCTGTGAAGTTCATCAAGCAATCTGTACAATTTTTATAAATAAGGCTGACTTCAAGTAAAAGTTATTTTATTTTTAAAATTTATTTATTTATTTATTTATTTATTTATTTATTTATTTATTTTGTCTTTTTGAAGAAGGGTCTCCCTGTAGCCCCAGCTGTCCTGGAACTCACTATGTAGACCAGGCTGGCCTGGAACTCACTGAGATCCGCGTGCCTCTGCCTCCCAAGTGCTCGGATTATAGGCGTGCGCCACCACGCCTGGCTTATTATTCTTATTTTGAGTGTACTGCCTGCATGTAGTTAAGTGCACCCATGTCATGCAATGCCCTCAGAGGACAGAAGAGGCTGTCAGATCCCCTGGAGTTACGAACAGTTGTTAGCTGCCACGTGGGTGCTGGAATTTGAACTCTGGTCTTCTGCAGGAACAACCAGTGTTCTTAACTGCTAAGCCATCTCTCCAGCCCCACAAATAAAAGTTATTTTAAACACATATACAGTATATTCTCGAATGTTCTACATAGATGGAACTACTGGCTTTCCAGACACAACAGCCTCAAATGATGGGAGTTCTCTGTGCAACAGTTCATCAGATTTGCTCATTTCTACCTTGTCCTCAAGCCAAACAAAGTGCCTTTACTTACTCATCCTTTGATGGCTGACTCATCTCCACAAGAACTTTCTCTGACCACCTAATCCAAATTAGACTCTCCAAGCCTAAGTCTCACAGATGGATGATGGTGCCCTTTGAGCTCTAAACTCTGTGAGAACGGACATTTTATCCTTTGCTCCTTGCTGAAGAAATGGGGCCTAAGAGCAGTGTGTGGCATTTAACACAAGGTACACAAATACTGTTGAGTGTTAAATTAACTTCACACATACACAGCATTCCAGTAATAGAAAATAAGTGACTAAATAAAATGAACTGAAATCTGTACTAGTTGATAAGGCAAGTCCTTTCCCAGAAAATCAGGATTAGTGTAGTAAGGAGGTCTAAGTAGAGAACTTGCGTTAAGTCTCAGTTCTGTCCTCTGGTGACAGGTAACAACAGCCAACAAACTAATGAGCCTCCTAAGGCTACCATGTAGCTCACAGGTAATCAAGGACCAAACTCCTAAACTTAGGTTTCCTTGTTTGCATCATTCCTATGTTAACAAAACGAACAATTCCAAACGACCAACTAGAAGTTATCAGAATAGTACTTTTTTTTTCTTTTCAAGCAGGATCTTATACTATGTAGCCCTGGCTGGCCTGGACCTCACTATGGTCTAGCTTCTAATTCAGAGGGGTCAGCCTGCCTCTACCTCTGCTGGGATTAAAGGCATGATACGCCCAGTCCAGGCTAATACTTTTGACATATACAAAAGACAAAACAGCAAATTTTCTTTCTGAAATGGATGCTTTCTTCTTTCTTAGCAACATTACAAATAAGAAACTCACATTTTAACCAGAAAACTATCTTTAAGACTAAACAGTTAGAAATCCAAGAATGAAAAGCTAAATGGTAGGGTTTTTTATTCCTTTCAGGACTGATCACAGCACCTTGTGCATATATTCTACCACTGACCTATAAACACCCCCCTGCTTTTTCCCAAAAATTGAGAATAGGTCTAAGTTGCCTATGTTAGCCTCAATCTTGTGATCCCTCTGGCCTCAGCTCCCAAGTGCCATTAAACACCATGCCCTATGTCCCAGTTACCTTTCATAGCCTAAGTCTTAAGGTCAAGACGTCCTGAAAATGGAAATTTTGAAATAGTATTTTCTCCAAAGAATTACAAATATGTGAAACTCAAATCAATTAGCTGGGTGTGGTAGTACACACCTTTAATCCCAGCACTGGGGAGGCAGAGGCAGGCAGATCTCTGAGTTCAAGGCCATCCTGGTCTACAAAGTTGAGTTCTAGTCCAGGTGGGGCTACAGGGAGACCCTGTCTCAAAAACAAAACTAAACAAAAATCAAATATTTAGTAATTACCCACTATGTGCAACATACTGAGCCAGCAAGGAGGAAGGTGAAGGCAGAAGGAGAAAATGATGAAAGGGTGAAAGGCAATACCCAAGTACCTGCCTATTTTAGATAAGGAAAGTAAATCAGATACATTAATGATGTCAATGGGCAGTGAGGGCAATACAGTGAGCTCTCCCTCCTGTGACACCTACATTAGCTGATATGAGTTACAAAATGAAGGCAGGGAAGTTAAAATTAATTTTTCCCCTAATATAACACTTTCCGGATACCTTCCTCTTCTTAAAGAAAGGAGGAAAGAAAAGATTTGTAAACTATAAATTGTTTTACAAATAAAATGAATTATGGTAACTTTTTCCACAGGGATATCCTTTATAACACAGAGAGCTATCTTTCACATTTCAAAGCCAATTATTTAAAGACCAAGTAAGAAAATACTATTTCCACAAAATTTAAATTGCCACTAAAGTTGCCAACATACACAAATAGACAAAAGTTTTATATTTTAAAATAGTAAACCAAAAAAATCTTATTCTGACATTATTAAAACTTAAAAATTGCCAGCACAAGGCCAGGCGTGGTGGCCCACACCTTTGATCGTAGTACTCAGGAGGCAGAGGCAGGCTGATCTCTGAGTTCAAGGCCATCCTGGTCTACAAAATGAGTTCCAGGCCAGCTGGGGCTATAGGGAGACCATGTCTCAAAAAGACCACCATAGGAAGCTGGGAGTGAAAGCACAAGCCTTTAATCCCTGCAGAGGCAGGCAGATAGATCTCTAAGTTTGAGCCCAGTCTTGTCTACAGAGCCAAGTTTCAGGCAAGCCAGTAATGCACAGTGAAACCTCTTTAAAAAAATAAAACCTTAGAGCATGGTGGTAGATGACTAGAGTCTCAGCACTGGGAAGGTAGAGGCAGGACATTTACTCAAAGTTTTAGGCCATCTTGGTCTACATCCTGGGTTCTATGTCTGTTAGGGCTACATAGTGAGATTGTCTCAAAATAAACTTTTTAATTAAAACATAATGAAAAGTAGACTTGTTTAACAATTGTGTATGTGCGCATGCACATATGCATGGCCCCGAACACATGTAGAGATCAGAGGACAACTTTGGGGGAGTCTTTTCTCTTTTTCCACCAGGTGAGTTCCAGGCTTACTAACAAGCACCTTTACACTGAGCCATCTCACTGGCTCACTCTTTTCAATGCATTAAAAAAAAAAAAAAAATCAACCTCATATCTCTGTGAATTCAAGGCCACCCTGGTCTACATAGTGAGTTGCAGGACAAGTGGGGCAACAGGGAGACCCTGTCTCAAAAAGACATTAAAAAATAAAATAAAAAAATAAATAATCAGAAGCTTAGTACAGTACATGCAGAGGACTAACAAGAGGTTGAAGAGCAACTACAGTACTTCAACTAGTTGACTAGACCACAGTGATTTCACAAACCTGTTGTCTTACTAAAAAGAATCCTCCAGATTATAGATGTTTTACACTGAGTATGTTGACAATGCAAAGAACTTGTGAGTAAAGTTTGTCTTGTTTTCTCTCTAAAAAGAATTGCAAAATTCTTCACCCAAAGGCTTGCTTTGAAATATTTTATTTCAAGATGTGTATCTTCTTTTGCTGGGGGTGGGGTTGAAACATCTAATGACTGTGTAGCCCAAGCTGGCCTGGAACTTACAGAGCTCCTCTTGCATCAGCCTCCTGAGTTCTAGTATTACAGACACACACCAGCACCCCTGGCTTTTTATTATTTATTCTACTTTTTCTTTTTCTTCTTTTGAGAAGGCCCACAAGAGTATCAGGGCACATGTGTAGAAGTTAGAGGATATTTTGCAAGAGTTTGCTCTCTTCCACTATGTGGGTTCAGGGGATTGAATTCAGGCTGACAGGCTTGGCAGCAAGTGCCTTTACCACTAAAGCATTTCAGTGGCCCCCCCCCAGCTTTCAAATGTGCACTTTCTATCCTTTCTTTTTTAGTTGGTTTTATTGTCTACTTTGTTTTTTTTGTTTTTGTTTGTTTTCTTTTTTGGTTCTTGGATCTCACTTGAATCAAGCCAAATAAGCCAAAAGAATATGAAATTTGGGGGTGGAGGTGTAGCTAACCTGCTTGGTTCCAACCTGAGCAACACACACACACACATACACACACACACACACACACACACACACACACACACACATACTTTTTTCAGGGCTGGAAAGATGGCTCAGAGGACCTGAGTTCCACTCCCAGCACCCACATGGTGGATAACAAACATCTGTAACTGCACTTTCAGGGTATCTAACGGCCTTCTCTGGCCTCCATGCAAACGGCATGCAAGGGTGCACACTTACATGCATGTAAAACACTCATAAAAGTAAATAAAAAATATTAATTTTTTTCCAGGAAAAATAGCAATTAATATACAAGTTTAAGTGTGCTTAATTCTCACAGCCCTATGGGCTAAAGCCTGTAATCTCAACACTTGGAAGGTTGAAGCAAGAGAACTGCCACAAAATCAAACCCACCCTGGACTACAGAGGGAATACCAGTCTAACCAGATCCACATGGCAAGACTATGTGTCAAAAAATAATAATTTATAAACCCTATTGAGCATTGCCATCTAAAAAATTACATGGGAATACATAAAAACAAGCTCTGTAGCCATCACTGAAGAAATTTAAGTCTTGTGGACGAAAAGAAATGGAACTCAGGTGAAATGAAGGCTCTCAAATTTATTCACTTAACCCACACACAATGAAACAGCAAATTCTCATCCATTCATTACATTTGTGTCCACATCCATGTTTTAAAGATTTACGACTTCATTTACATTTGAGGAGTAACTTGAAAATAAAAATAAACTGCTCTTGAACATAATTAGAAAAGGGACGAATTACAAATGTAAGCAATGAAAGAAGGCTCCCCAACACTCAAGTAATTCCTATTCACAACTGCAATTTCCCCCTTAAACTACTTTAAAAATATTTAACTCTCCATAGACTGCAAGCTACCGTGGCCGCACCTACTATATGTGTTTAATGAAGGAAAAAGCGCCCAGAATGAACGCATGCCCCCACCACCACCTGAAGCAACACTATTTCTGACTTGAAATTACTTAACCAAAGCAACGTTTTTCCACTGCGCCTGGCTGCCTGAGCTGCGAGCCTGGGGAGCAGGTGGCCGACGGGCGCACACAGTAGGCTCTCAAGGATGCCAGTTAACACTGCCCTGCGAGCCGCCGCCTCCTTAGCTGTGGTCAAGCGCTCTGATTTCCCTCCCGCCCTTGGCTTCGGGGACACTTCCACATCCCAGAGCGTCAAGCGGGAGAAACCGCTCACGACGGAAGTAATAGCCGACCTTCAAGTCGGGAGTTAAGGGACGGTCCCAGCCGCGGACAGCCTCTTCTCTCCCACCGCTACCATCCCACAAGGGTCCAGCCTCCACCCGGCTCGGAGCCTGCAGGCTGTCCCGGTCCGGGTGGAAAAGATCACCGCAGCTCCTGCAGGCCGGGCACCGTGTGGACAGCAGGTCCCGTCCGGAACCGAGAACTCGGGCCCCAGGCTGTCCCGGGCCGGGCCGGCTACCTTGGAGGTCGAGGCGGCCGCGGGCCTCGCTGGCGGGCTCCGAACACCCAACCACGGCCCCCACAGCCGGTCCAGAAAGGCGGGCAGAGGCTCCGACATGGCCAGGACCGCGCGCAGCCCGCCGCAGGTGCTCAGGCCTCGCGGGGACAGCGCAGAGGCGCCGCCCGCTCTCCGCAGCCGGAGCAGACGGCAGGCCTCACCCGCCGCGCGCCGCTTCCCTGCGGGCTCCCGCCGCGCCTGCCGTTAGCCTTGCGGCCGCGCGTTCCGACCCGGGACGGGAGACAGCCACGCCGTAGCGACTCACCATTGTCGGCGACTGCCGTGTCCCGGCTCTTTACTCCTCTTCCCTAAGAACTCCCTGCTGCCTGCGCCCGCCGCCCGTCACGTGACCGCGGGCCGCCCGCCGCACGTGACCACTCCCTTCCCTCCTTGTTCCAGCCCCGCCCGGCCGCTCCTGTCCCCACCCCGAAGGCGGTTTGGGGCGGGGCCTCAGACTCCGCCCCCGTTGGGGCATGGCCATCGGGCCCGGCGCCAGGTGGGCGGGGCCGGAGGTAGGTCCCCGAATTCTCCGCCTCATGGCTGTCACGTGACTGCCTTTGTGCCGCTCCTCCCAGACACGCCCACTTCCTTTCCCTTGGGGAAGTTTGAGGGGCGGGGATGGAGGGAAGGATTTGTGCGGGACGCGCTGTCCCGGCTCTCTCTGCGGTTCGGACGTGAGCCTGCGGTCCGGAAGCCTGTCCCAGGCCCTTCGACCCGCACCTGAGGTGCCTCCCAGACGACATGCTCGCCTTTCCCCCCAGATGAGAAGACAGGGGAGAAAGTCAATCAGCACTTCCATTGTTCCGCAGGTCGGGACAGCTCCGGACCCAGCCAGCCAACCCGGCTCCTGGGATCGGCCTTCCTGAAAGTTCCAGGAGGGTACAAACCTAGACCTGGGGATGTATGAAATTCTTTGTCGGCTTTTGACCTGAATCTCGGCAGTACTCTCCATTAGGGGGAGAATCATCATTCCACCGTAACAAAATCAGACCTGGGAGGCAGGACCACGAAGTATGCAAGCCTCAGATGTAAGGATTGAAATCAGATTGGGCTCCAAACGTGACTGAATTCAAAGTTTGGAAATCAAGCAACATAAACCCCACTCTACCCGGCCGCCTCCCGTGTGGAGAATGACCTGGTTTATGATCTTACTGCACTTACCTCTGGAATGCCTTTGGATTAAAGCTGTGTACCACCACGTCGGGTATATGCAGTGCTGCAGCCTGAACCCAGCGCTTCATGCATGCTAGGCAGCCACGCAGCCAGCTGAGCCACTTCCTTGTCTATAGGTCAAAGACTAGATCAATGGAAATTTAAAAATAGTTGGACTGAAAGATCATAATAAACAATACACATCAAATTTTGTAGGATGCAGCTGAAATAATGCTTAGAGTGAAAATCTGTAACAAAATGCTTTTAATTGAAAACAAGGTCAAAAGTGCTCTGTTTCTGTACCAAAGGGGGGGAAAAAGTTTTGGAATGGATGGGTGTTTGTTTATATATTTTTGAGACCATGTCTCACTACAATGGCTTGGTTTTTCTGGAACACTCTTATGTACCCCAGGCTGACCTCAAACAAAGGTACAACACTATAGGGACACAGAGAATTTATAGTTGAAAATAATCTAGAGGCTGGAGAGATGGCTCAGCGGTTAAGAGAATTGGCTGCTCTTGCAGAGGGCCCAAATTCCATTCCCAGCACACACATGAAGGCTAACAACCATTGATAACCTAGAGTAACTCTAGTTCCAAGAGATCCGACACCCTCTTCTGACCCCCACAGGCATTACACACATGCAGGCAACAATAATAAAATATTTTTTAAAAAATAAAATAGTCTATAGTTTTAAAAAACTTTGAATCAAGCCAGGTTTAGTGGCACGAACATTTAATCCCAGCACTCGGGAGGCCAGCAAGGCAGGGGGATCTCTGGGAAATCAAAGCCAGCCTAGCCTACATAGTGAGCCTCAACTGGGGAATTGCCTCTATTGGACTAGCCTATGGCCATGTCCGAAGGCATCTTCTTGATGAGTGATGTGGGAGGGCCCAGCCCACTGTGGGTGGTGCCACCCCTGGGCAGGTGGGCCTGTGTTGCATAAGAAAGCAGGCTGAGCAGCGGCCAGGAGAGCAAGCCAGTAAGTTCCTCCATGGCCTGTGCTCCAGCTCCTGCCTCCAGGTTCCTGCCCTGAGTTCTTGCCTTGGGCTCCCTGATGAACGCTGACCTAGGAGATGTAAGACAAATAAACCCTTTCCTCCCCAAGTTGGTATTGGTCAGAGTATTTTGTCACAGCAATGAAGAAACAAACCAGGACACCACTCTTCCAGAGGACCTGAGTTCAGTTCCCAGCACCCACATGAGGAGACTCACAACTGCCTGTAAGTCCAGCTCCAGGGGATCTAACATCCTTTTCAGGCTACCTCAGGCACCCCCACACTCATGGCACTCAAATGAACAGACACATGAATAAAAATAAAAACAAATCTTAAAAAAAATTGTAGCCCTGATAATCACTACATAGACAGGAATGGCATTGAACTTCTGGTGATCTTCCTGTCCCTCGTGTCTACCTTGGCCTCAAGTGTTTGGACTGCAGGCATGCACCACCATGACATTCTTGGAGATGCTTTATTAGTTTACAGGATGTAGTTTTTATGACTCAACTTTAAGAAGGCTGAGGCTGGTGGTGAAATGCCATACAACACTTCAAGTGGCTCATCCCCTCCCCACCAATGATATACTTTATTCAAACAAGGGCTTCTCATAATCACCCAGCATGAAGGAGCAGAGCTAGAACTCCTTTAAAGCAGGGAAGGTGCTTTGACAGTCCCAAACAAAACAACCGGTAACATTCAGGTAAATGACAAGGTGGTCACTGGTCACAGGACAGCAACCAAATGGTAATAAATGTTTTGAAGAAGAGTATGTGCAGCATAAGAAAGCTGACATTCTCAAAGTGAGTTCACCAGGGTGTAGCTCAGTGGTACAGCCTGTGCTTAGCTTGTGCCAGCCCCTGGGTTCCATTCCCAGTGCCCCCGAGCTTTTTTAAAAAAAATAAAAGGGGCTGAAGAAATGGCTCAGCAGTTAAGAGCACTGACTGCTCTTGCAGAGGACCTGGGTTTGATTCCCAGCAACCACATGGCTACACACCGTCCTTAACTCCAGTTCCACGGGCATCTGAAGCCTCTTCTGACCTCCACGGCATTGCACGACATGGGTGCACTCATCACATACATGCAGGCAATACATTCATACACATAAAATAAAAATAAATAGCCGGGCGTGGTAGTGCACGCCTTTAATCCTAGCACTCGGGAGGCAGAGGCAGGTAGATCTCTATGAGATCCAGGCCAGCCTGGTCTACATAGCAAGTTCCAGGCCAGTTGGGGACACAGGGAGACTGTCTCAAAAAAGAAACCAAATAAACAAATAAATAAAATCTTTCAAAAAGTAATAAAATATGGATGAAAGTGAAAAGATAAAGCATGATACCACTTTGTAAGCATGCTAGTTTCAACAACATAAACACATACTGGGAGAAAATATAAAATGAATGAGGTAGAAGCTGGTGATTGCTTTAAACCGTCATAAACTGCTGTAATAAATAATATTCCTCTGAAATGTAAGCCTTTCAAAGACTCTAACACAGAAAGCAAACATTCTCCCTTTAGCGTTCCCTCCCTTTCTTGCGTCTTCCTTTGGGACTACTGTCCTGTCACAGTCTCCACGGTTTCTGAGGACAGCTTCCAGCATCTGCTCTGGGAACTAGTGATCCACAAGGTGATGAGGCAGGCAAAATGGATGGCAAGGTCTGCCTCTCCCTGGCTGAGTGGTGATGACCAGCTTGCCCTCACTGCACACCAGCTTCCTCAGGTGCCAAATGAGAAACACGAGAGACTCAGGTGATAGGATGTAAATGCTGGGTTCTCAGAACGGCATCAGGATCACGGTCACAGCTCTTCAAATGCTGGTTTCCCTGACCAGGAGGATGACACTGATCTATCCCCGAGAGTAGACAGCTTGTAGGGAAACAGGTTCCTTACTTGGAGTCTCTGAGTCTCAGTTTACCATATGTGAACAGTGCCAGAGCAAGGAGTTCCTGTTTCAAACGGACTAAAAGTCTGTAAGATGGTCAACACAAGCCTTTCATTCCTTCTGTTGATTCTTTCCTGAGGATGGATTTAAAAAAAAACAAAACAAAACAAAACAAAAAACAGCCAGCAGCTTCTCCACCAGCAGAGGGCAATGCCTTCACACCTCAGCTGCAGACCATCACTGTCCAATAGAAACATAAAGCCAACTATACACCATTTGAAGTGCTTCAGAGGCCGCATTTCTTCCTTTTTGTTTCTTTTCTGCTTTAGCAGATGTTCTACTTTGTTCCTCCATTGCTGTGACAAAGCACTCCAACCAATACCAACTTGGGGAGGAAAGGGTTTACTTGGCTTACATCTCCCAGGTTACAGTTCATCGGGGAGCCCAAGGTTAGGCTTAGGAACCTGGAGGCAGGAGCTGGAGCACAGGCCATGGAGGAACACTGCTTACTGGCTTGTTCCCCTGCCCCCTGCTCAGTCTACTTTCTTATACAAGGGGTGACACCACCCACAGTGGCCTGGGCCCTCCCATATCCCTCAACGATCAAGAAAATACCCCACAGACATGGCCACAGGCCAGTCCAATGGAGGAAATTCCCCAGCTGAGGGTCCCTCAGCTCAGGTGTGTCAAGTTGACACTAAAGCTATCGAGCACAGCAGACATGTTTTTTACTATTTAAAAACAAGCTAAAATTAAGTACGTGTTGCTTAACAATGATGGTACACAATCTATGATTATACTAAAACCCACTAAATTATGTAATTTAAAGGGTGAATTATATAGTGTAGGAACTGTATCTGAAAAAAGGTGTTTCAAAAAGTATAAAGAAATGCAAAGGCCAGGTATGGTGGTACATGTCTTTAATCTGAGTACTCAGGAGGCAGAGACAAGCAGATCTCTGTGAAATGGAAGCCGGCCTGGTCTACATAGCAAGTTCCAGGCCAGCTGAAGCTACAAGGAGACCCCCCTATTTCCAAAGAAAAGAAAAAGAAAATGCAGATATGTGACTCAGTTGGTAGAGTGTTTGCCTAGCATGCGCTGAGACCTAGGTTCAATATCTAGCACTACAAAAACCAGGTCTAGAGGCATAGATCTGTAATCTCAACACTTGGGAATTGGAGGCAAGAGGATCAGAAGTTCAAGATCATCCTCAACAACATGTTGGTTTGAGGCTATCCTGGACTACCCCATCTCAAAAAACAAAACAAACAAACAACAACAACAAAAAAAAAAACACAAGGCCAAGCTGGTGGGGAATGAGGCTGAGGCAGGTGTTTGGCTACAAGTTCAAGGTCTGTTTGGTATGTATAGCAAGTTTTAGGT